TATATAGTGATATATGTACTAAACCCAAAAATCTATAATAAAATTCTTTTTAAAAAAGATTATCTTATAATCTATCCTAAACTCTACCCAAAAAATATTACTAGTCTTTATTCTTATTCTAACTCTAAAAAAAAATCATTAATTTCTAGCACAGTTAGAAGTTGCAAAAATTTTGAATACATTCTTAAAATTGATTCAAATACAACTAAATTACTTCGATTAAAATTATACTTCACTTTTACCAATATAAACAATATGCAATTACAAATTACTAATGCAACCAAATTACAAGCTCATAAAAAAACATATCATATACAACTTAAAGGTTTTATTCACTACTCTGTTTTTTCTTAATCAAATGAAGCTATTTTTCAGAGCAATTTCGAGAATTATGATACTATAATTTACATATAGCACACTAATGTTTGTTTTTCTTTTTTGATCCAGATGCTAGAATTTTATCTTGATTACTTGAAACAATATTTGTGCTATTATAATTTTTAATTGCTAATAAGGATCTTTTATTTGCAAGATGGCCTTTACCTTTATACTGATATGGATTTGAAATACTAAAGTTATTATTTTCTTGAATTAACTCTTGTTCAGATAGATTTTTATTTTGTGCAGAAACTTGCTCATCAATAAATTATTGCAAAATATTTTTTAAAACCTTATTAGAACCATTAGTGATCGCTATATTCAAAGCCTTTTTACAAAGTCTGAAACCATAGCTATATGAAACCTTTTTTGAATCTAATTCTATTGCATTTCTAATATTAATCTTTGGTTCACGAATTTTTTCTAAAACTTAAAATGTACTAGTTGAAAATAATTCATCTTCATTTCATATTAACAAAATAGATGATTCTTAACTTTTGTCAAATAATGCAAGACTTTCTTCAGAATACCAATGAGAAGAAATCAACTTTATATTAAAAAGCACTTATTTTGAATAAATCATAATAGCAAAAAAATATTAGCAAATGAATCTAACATAAATTAAATATAAACACGTGCAATAATATGTACCATCTTCAAGCAATAACACAAATTGTGAATGATTCATTGTGTTTTAAAGATATTTAAATTCCCATATATCAGTTATACCAATTCTATTACAATCACCCAGTGCCGTGTTTAATAAAATTTGTGGTTCTTCATAATTATCTTCTATGAATCCTATGCTATAACAATTTGAATCTTAATTAAATAATGTATACAATACAATCTTTATTTATAGTTTGATTAAATAAAATAGAGCATATACAAAAAAAATATATCAAGAAAAACTATAACAAAAAACTTTCCTGATTCATATTTATGTCAAGCATATTAGTATATAAGAAAACCCTATACAAAAGACTTTCTAGCATTTGCCTTTGCTGCAATGCTAATAAATTAGATATAAGATACTTTTTGCATATATCATCAATATCTTTAAAAATTATATTTGAAACATGAGAAAGGCCTGTTGTAGGATTCATATTTCAGAACTCTTATAACCTTGTATATTTGGCTTCATCTTTGAGTCACAATTCAATTTCTACTTAAAGCTGATATAAAGAGTTTTCAGAGTTAGCCTCTAATTTTATAACACAGTTTATACTTTCAACACATTGTATTGAATAGGTGTTTGCTGAAAAACTCTGTTTTGTAAAAGTATATATCTAATATTCTTTAGTTAAATACAATATTTGATCACAATAATCTTGAATTTTTGGATACTTGTCCATTAGATCCATCTAGTAATAATCAAAATCGGATATTGCAAATGAATTTTGAAGAGCATAAAAATCCGAAATAAATGTATCTCACTTGCTATAAAGCTTTTTTTTGATCTTTTTAACAAGATTTTGCTGAATGTGAAATACACAATGCCTAAACAAAAGACAAAATATTAAAACAATATGAAGAAAAATAAAAAGAATATGTAAGATATAGTTATGAAAATATATGTATGATTAGTGTTCCTATGAACTGAACTAAACTGAACTTTTGGCCAAGTTCAAGTTTAGTTCAAAATTGAACTGAACTTGAACTTGAACTTTTTTTAAAAAAAGTT